CTAGCATCTTGAAGTGTCTCAGATATATCAGTGGTTCTCAACAGTTGCACTGCTGCTACTATCTTAAAAAAAAAAAAAGGGCCATAAAGAGTTCACTCAGGGGGGAAAAAGTTTACAAAAACACTGTCATTCAAAGGAACTTAAAAAAGTTTTAGGTTTTGGCAAATAAAACTGTCTTGGAAAGGCTTTGTAAGAGCTCAGTGTTCAAGGGGCCATCAAGAAATCAGCACTGAAACCCCTGTCCTGCCTTCGTCTGCAGATCTGCTCTGCTGGAAGAGGCTGGCAGTGAATGTGCAGCATCAATGCAGTTGACTTCAAAAGAGGCTTAGAATGAACTAGTGTGATTCCCCATACAGGGCACAGTTTGAAACATATTTTGTTGACAATTTTCAGTTTCTTATTTCTTTTTCTTGTATGTTGAACAATGAGTTCAAGTAGCAAGGAGACTGCAAGCAGTTACTGCGACTCTAAGTCTTAATTCATGAAGATTCTCACAACAGTCCTTTTTTCCTATGAAATTAACTCTTGAAATAGTTGAAAATGACTTTGACTTTCACTTATTTTAATGCAGACGAGGATTCCTGTTTATACTTTCCTCTCCAATAGCATGTCCTACTTAGGGTTCCTGAAACTATTCACACAACAAACATACAGTCAATCTGCTGAACCATTTTTGGTGTTCCATCTATGTTTTCTTAAATATCATACATGTATAGAAGATTATGGATTCTTGCATCCTTAATCTGACAATCATACTAATTCTTATCTATAATGAAGGTTCTTGACATCAAAGTGAGCTTGAAAAAGTTACTTTACTAGTATTTCTCAGAACATTTCTGTAACCCCCATTAACACTCATTAAATTCATGTGAACATTTAAAGATGAAAGAAAAAAAATTACTTCTGAACTTTATTCCTTCCTTTTTGAAATAGCAATAAGCCTAATGTGTAACATGTTACACTCCAGAGTTTCTGTAACCATATCGGCCTCAATGACATGGTTAAATCTTAATATATTCCCTACAAAGCTAACATTTAGAATGGATAGAGGAATCTGTAGAAAAGAACGGACCATCTGACATGCTACTTGTGGAACAGTATATTAAAGAAGCCTGTTAACATGTAGTTTAAAACTCAAAAGAAACTCTGAACAGCTGAAATGCCTTATAAATAGCGCAGACCCAGAGGAAGTGCAAACGTCTGCATTGTGAATTGTAGATCTTAATTACCGACAATGGCTGGTACAGCAAGTAGCACAGAAAAAAAGTGAAACAGTTGCACTGTTCATGGTTGGCAATAATTCTTCAGGAAAATATTTACTATCAATCAGTTATGAGAAAAGGGACTCTGTGCTCGTAAAACAGCACGTTGCTTCTCATACCAGGACCATTTTGCTTCAGCATAATCTGAATTTAAACAGCTTGTTTCCTGCGGATATAATTTTGGAAATAAATAAAACAAGTCTTCTATCAAAATCTGGAGTGAGTAGAAAGGAACATCACATTTTTCTGTCTCAGTCAGTTGCAAACAGATTATTGGTCTCAAGTAAAAAACAGCAAACAACTACTACAATATAGAATCCTCTACAAAGGGCTACTGAAGAGGTTTGTTTTCTAAACATAAAGAAGCAGAACTTCTACCTGGGCAGGAATCTAGGTAAAAGTGTTCAAACAACTCAATTTTAATTGTATGTGTTTATGAGTGTGAGTGTGTTTGTGTTGGGGGGGTGGGGATAAATGAGGGGGAAGACTGAAGCCAAAAATTTCTGTAATGTCTAAATAAAATCAATAAAAAGATAACATGAAAAATTTATGCTCTTCATTTTTCCAGTTAGCTTTCTTTACCAATTAAAAACATCGTGAAGGTTGACAATTAGGTACAACATTATTATTGATTCTAAAGACTAAGTTGGCGGTCAATAATGACTGTCCACTTAAAACTACAATAAATACAGAGCTCATCGTGTTCCAACCACAAAACTCATGAACTATAGGACTATAATTAGTAAAAAGAAAGACTTCTGAGGAAAATACAGTGTTTCAATGCCTTCAAATATCACTTGGATTAAGTTATACTGATAAAATGACCCCTGCTCCATTTTTATCTTTAAATATTTTCTTAGGTGCCATTCTTCAAGTTAGAGATTCATATGATTATTACTAAAGCGGGAATGGCTGTGGTTTCTCCTACAACTTTGTTTTCTTGTATTCTAAAGAGGACTAATGGGTTCATTTTCATAGAGCTATTGTAAGACATTTATTATAAGATATTTTGGCAAAGAAGAATAACATACAATCTACTGGCGAGGTTTGAACATAATAATATCACTGTTTTTATGGGACTAACTGGTATTAACGTCTTCTCTAAAATTCAACAATAAGCTTTTAGACTCTAATTAGCTTCTGCATTCCAACCAAAGTCACTCTTATTGGATATCACTATTTCATACTGTTCACACAAGGAGATGGATGGGCACTCAAGACCACTTTGGAGCACAATTTGAAAAAGCGACACTTGTATCCAGTAAAAAAACACTGCAAGTCATATGTGTAGCAGATGAAACTATTCAGTTAAGGGCTAAGGTAAAGAGTAGGAAATAGGGACCAGCTAGCTGACCTATGAAACAATGGCAAGTCATTACCTTTCAAAGGTCAAGCAAAAAATGAGGTCAACAGAAACAGTAAAGAATGATGAGAAACATGTAACACATGTAAATAAAACAGGAAAAGTTCTTTCTTATTTCCTGTACCTCACTGAAGGCTGTTGTAAGACAGAACTTTTTTCACTTATATGTTTTTATTTGCCACTGAACAACTGATTATTTGGCTCAAATCTGAAGCAATAAACCACAAGAGAGGATGTAGGCCAATAAAGGAACCAGACAGTTGGGTGGGTTCCAACATGAAAAGATAGAAATCATTACTGAATTAGGGTATTCAAGGAGATGATGAAAGGATACAGGTGTCAGAATAATGTCAAAATAAGCAAGAGTAGGATGAAGGGGTCACCATCTGGGAGCAAAGGAAACAGACTAATAAGCAGCAATAAGCAACCTTAATTCCTCACCCAAAAGCATAGAAAATATTACACCATTGTGCAAGATGCCAGAAGATTTCTAACCATGCACCACTGAAGAAGAGGGTGGGGGTGGGAGTATCACATAAATACACACAAACATGTAACTATGTAGCTTAGAGATCTTGTTTTACAAAATATGGAGAAAACAAAAGGAACAGATGCTCACTTGGCCAGCACTCAAGGAAACTCATTAAAATCGTCACCCTGTTCTTGGATCAGTGCTCATGCTAAGATTTTACCTTGTTTAGCCAGAAGTCACCCACTTGTGATGAAACATGGTGGTGTGGCCAAAAAGGAGCAAGATTACATCTAAAGGACCAAATAATTGCAACTTCATCCTTGCCCCCCATCTCAACAGACAAACTACTGGATATAAAATAGACTTGATTAGCACTGGCTACTCACGACTGACTGAAAAATATGTAGGTGTAATTCACAGTATCCATATTTTGTAGCAAATTATTAAGACATTCTAATTTTAAAGATTCAACTGATTATCTTTTTAAACAAATTTTGATATTTCTTATATGAATTATTTCAGATGGTTATATTTTATATAGTGTATTTTCAGTTGATAAAACAGGTCCAGAGACTACAACATGTTTTAAGAAATGAAACTGAAATAATAAAACATATTGCTGTCCTTTGAATTTTTTAGCAAAGGGTGAAGACAACACATCAGGCCTGGCTCTAATAATTAACAGTAAGCAACTGAGAGTCTGAGTGTGTAATATTGGGCTGTTGGAAAAGTGATGACATATTTTTGTTTGAAAAACACAGAAAAAATACATCTTGACTTTTCCAACAACCCAATACAATAAAGTTGGGAGTGCTGTAATAGTGACAAATCCCTGAATAGTCATAAAGGCAGTAATTTTCAATACGCAAAGTAAAAGTTAAAAAATAAGAGTTCATACTGGAACTTTACCTACTCTTGGAGTAGTCAAAATGACTAACATCTAAATTTAGGTCAAAGTTCCTAAATAATTAGAGAACTTGGAAAATTTGAGCCAGAGTTTACATGAAAAGTCTAGGGTCTCTGATATATAAGATTGTTTTTTTGTATGGAAGCTAGAGCTATGATACATACTTACATATGAGAGAGCTTATATTTAAGATTAAGTATCACTCAGATCAAGATTACCAAAAGCAGTATTTCTATTATTGGCCATTCAGTAAATAAGAATAGTGATAATAATAAATGAACTTTCACAGCATATTTCTCCAAACTTTCACTAGTGTACTCCATACTTAATTACACTTAAAAACTACAAACAAATGTAAAAACAATGTGTAAAAACAATGTGTATTTTCTTACATAAATCTTTTTTTTAAATAGACCCTGTGCTTTTCTTTTTTTCTCTTTTTAATTTAAATTTTATTTTTATATTCCCCATATAATTATAACCCCCTTATTTTGACCCCAATCCTTCCTTCCCCGCCCCCTACCCCCCATAGAGTGTCTCTGGTTCATAGTTGTTTGTTGATTTTGATATTTTCTTTCTTATAGTTATTCTTTTTCCTGGTTCCTTATTTAAGTTTTCTAGATTCCTGCTATGAGTGAGACCATCCGGTATTTTTCTTTTTCTTTCTGGCTTATTTCGCTGAGCATGATCCCTTCCAGCTCCATCCATGTTGCTGCAAATTGTCTTACATAAATCTTATTTGTGATGACCCATAACTAGTGCCAAGCAATATGAAGTAGTCTAAAGTATATCCAGGATACATAATTTAAACATTCTGCTGTTGTTGAAGAGATGGAGACTACTACTTATAATTTATTTTGGGTAAAATGATGTCTGCTATATTCTTTTTAAAACATAAGCCATAACAATAGTTTTTAAATAGCAATATTGAGTGAAGATATCTATAAAGAACTGTTATGATATGGTACAATATTATTGAAGATGAAAATTACTCACTTTGGCCACACAATTTTCAGTCTTCATAGCAGTGCCTGCTAGACATACTGTTTCTTGGTTTAAGCAGAGTCTGGCACAGCTGTTATAAGTCTGCAAAGAGAATTTTTTGGAAACAGGTTTAAATATTAAAATAGTGTCATATGTAATTTTAAATCTTGTACTATTTCTCAAAATCCACACACAGTTAGAACCTATGCGCAAATTTCAGATTTATGGTAACTGAGTATTAAGTAAGACCCAGAGGGAAAACAAAGAAAGTGAGCCCACAAGACCCACTGATGTGTCCATGAACAAGTATGTGAGTAGTGGTGGCTCTACTGTGTGTATAGAAAGTAAAGATGGTTTTATTTATGAAGTAATGAGTAATGGACTTGAACAGACATTGCTCCCAAAGAAGATAAACAAATGGCCAAAAAGCACATGAAAAGATGCTCAACATCCCCGATCATCAAAGTAATGCAAAAAATGCAAAACTAGGAGACACCAACTCATACCCATTAGATGGTTACTATCAAAAAAAAAAAAAAGGAAACATGTGTTGGCGAAGATGTGGAGAAATTGGAACTCTTGGTAAGAATGCACCGTTAGTGAGAATGTAAAATGGTACAGCTGCTGTGGAAAACAGTACAGTGGAGGTTCCTCAAAAAATTAAAAATAGAATTACCATATGATCCGACAATTCCACTTTTAGGTATATACCCAAAAGAACTGGAAGCAGAGCCTTGAAGAGATAATTGTATATCCACATTCACAGCAGCATTATTTACAACAGCTAAAATTGGGAATAATGTGGAAGCAATCCAGGTGTCCACTGGAGGATGAATGGATAAAACAAAATGGCATAAACATATAATGAATAGTTTTCATTCTTAAAAATTAAATAAATTCTGCCATATACTACAACACAGATGAGCCTTGAGCATATAATGATAAGTGGAATAAGTCATTCACTAAAAGATAAATATATGACTCCACTTACATGAAATACTTAGTCAAAAATCATAGAGACAGAAAGTAGAATGGTGGTTGCCAGGGTCTAGGAGAAAGGGGAGATAATGTTTTTTGTTTGTTTTTTTATTTAGAAATTACTAAGTGCCAATGACTGAGGTATGTCTTTTACATAGATTATGTCATTTAAATCTCTTTAAGATAGGTGTTATGCCCTTTATTTTTTTTCTCCGTTCAAAACAAAACAAAACACCACCACTAATTATACCCCCTCCACCCTTACTCCTACCTTCCATCCTCTATACCTTTGGTAACAATCCCATTTTGGTTTCCAATGTCCACTAGTTTATTTTCATTTGGTTTTGTCCATTTATCTGCTTAGTTTCCTTATACTGCCCATATAGGTGAAATCATCAAATATTTATCTTTCTATTTTTGCTTTGATTTATCCTAGCGTTCCTTCCATTTTATTACAAATGGTAAAATTTCATCTTTTCTTATAGCTGAACAGTATTCTATTGTGTACATATATACACCTTCTTTGTCCAATCATCTATCAGTGGGCACTTAGGTTGCTTCTAGATCTTAGCTACTGTGAATATTGCTGCAACAAACCCTGCAGTGCACATAACTCTTCAAGTTGACTTCTTTGGATACCCAGAAGGGGGACTGCTAATTCTATTTTTTTTTTTTTTTTTTGTGGGACCCTTGCCAGCAGCCAGGGAACGAACCGGCGCTGCAGAGGCTGCGGGCAGCCTTGCAGCCCAGCGCTCAACCGCTGCGCCACCAGGGGCGGCCCCTCTATTTTAGGTTTTTGAGGAAGATCCATACAACTTTGCAAAATGGCCACACCAGTTTATTTGCATTCCTACTAACAGTATATAAGGGTTTCTCTTTCTCTATATCCTTGCCAAGAGTTATTGTTAGTAGTCTTTTTGATGTATGTCATTCTCACAGGTATGAGATGAGATACTGTGGTTTTGATTTACATTTTCCTAATAAGAAGTGTTGAACATTTTTTTTATGTCTGCTAGCCATCTATTTATCCTTTTGGGAGAAGCATCTACTCAGACCTTCTGCCCCTTTAAAATCGAGTTGTTGTAGTCACTGTCGTTAAATTGTATGAGTTCTTTACAGAGCTTGGATATTGAATGTGTGATGTGCAAATATCTTCTCCGGTTTAGTAAACTATCTTTTTAGTTAGTCAATAATTTCTGTGCAAAAAGCTGTGCAAGGGCTTTTTAATTTGATGTAGTCCACTAATTTATTTATTTATGTGTCCTTAAAAACACATCTATCACTGCTGTCATGGACCTTATCACCTTTTTTTCTTGCTATATACTTATGATTTCACATCTTATAGCCAAGTTTTTATTTTATTTTTTTAAAGATTTATTTATTTATGCATACAAGAGCTGGGGTACAGGCCAGAGATGTGGGGGGTGAGGGGATTCATCAGAGACAAAGTGGGGAACAGAACAGGCAGACCAACTGAAGTACACTGCTGAGGGGAGCAGCAGACAAGACAGGAGAGGTCTGCTGTACCATGTGGGTTTCTCTGGCCGGCCAGGCATTGAACTCATGCTGCAGAGGCTGTGGATTGCTTCATAGTGCAGTGCTTAACTCCTTGTGCCACCAGGGAGGCCTTTAATTTATTTTGAATTTATTTTTGTGTATAGAGTTAGAGAGTGATCCAGTTTCATTCTTTTACCAGTAGCTGTCCAGTTTGACCAACTCCATTAAAGAGATTTTTCCTTTCTTTACTGTATGGTTGTGGCTCCTTTGTCATAAATTAAGTACTAATATATGTGCAGATTTATTTCTGGATTCCTGATTCTATTCCATTATTCATGTGTCTATTTTTATTCCAATACCATACTATTTTAATTACTGTTGCTTTATAACAGTTTAAAATTTACATTTTTAAATCGATAAATGCAAATGTTGTATTATATGTATTTAATCACAATTTAAAAAACACAGGTTATACTTAGAGTAAGTAACCATTAATAATGACCTAGCATTAATAAAAATGTTTCATTTTAGCCTTTAGATCCTTAAACTTTAGCATGCATCAGAAATCATATGGCTTATTAAAACACAGATTTCTAGATCCCATCCCCAGAGCTTCTAAGAATTTGCATTTTTAACAAGTTTCCAGTTGATGTTAATACTGCTGGTCCAGAAACACTCTTTAACTACTATTATAAATACGTGTGTTAAAATTAAGAGAAAAATCTTGAAACACTGATAATCTCTTATAACCAACATTGTTTTAAATTCTAGATTTACACAGTACAGTTACAAAAATAGGTATGAATTCCTGTATACCCTTCTTCCAGCATCCTCATGTTAATGGCCTTAACCACAGGACAAATTTTATCAAAACTAAGGACCTAACTTAGTCAATAGCTAACCTAACTTAGCACAGCATAAATAACTTATTTAAGTTTCACTACTTTACCCACAAACCTTCCTTTTCTGTTCAGTATCTAATGCAAGCGTCTACACTGTATTTAATTGTCATGTTTCCTCGGTCTCCTCTAATCTGTGACAACTCCTCAGTCTTTGCTTGGCTTTCATGACTCTGACATTTCTGAAGAGCAGATTAGTTAATATGTAGAATGTCCCTCAAATTGGGTCTGTCTCATGATCAGATTGATAGAGAGGGAAGGACACTGCAGAGGTAATGTGCCCTTCTCAGTGTATCAAGTTAGGAGTATGCTGGCAAGTATTTCTAATGATTTTAACCTTAATCACTTGCCTAGGGCTGTCCTGCTAAGTTTTTCCACTTTAAATATACTATTCTCCCTGTAGGAATTATTTTTTTAAGATTTATTTATTTATGCATACAAGAGCTGGGGTGTAGGCCAGAGATGAGGGCAGTGAGAGGATTCACCAGAGACAGAGTGGGGAGCAGAACAGGCAGGCAGACTGAAATACACAGCTGAGGGGAGTAGCGGACGAGATAGGAGAGATCTGCTGTGTCATGTGGGTCACCTCCCTGGCACGTTGGGGAATCAAATTCATGCTGCAGTGGCTAGTAATAGCTTGATAGTGCTATCTTTAACCCCTTTGCCACCAGGGAGGCCCCCCTGTAGGATTTATTTTTTGAGACTACACAAATATTACTTCTGCTTCAATTCTGTCTGTCCATTTTAGAATCCACTGGTGGATTCATTGGTGCCTATGGTAATATTTAATGTAGTGTTCTAATGCAGACTTATAAATTTCCTTTCCTTCTACATTTTGTTAATTGAAATTTTCCTGTAATGAAGAGTTATGATTTCTTCTCCCATTTATTTACTTATTAATTTATTTATATAAGCAATGGATGCACAGCTGTTTTAAATTATTTTTGGTCAATTGTCACTCACTGGAAATAGACTAGGTAGGTAAAAAGAAAACAATATAAAAATTGTTTTCTTTTAAAACAGGTTAAACTTAAAAAATATTCTTATTTGTGTATCATTCAAGTTGAAATTATTTAAAACCATACACTTTAAAAGAATAAATGCGAATATTTCACAGTGTGTAAGGCCTACTGGTATACATGTATGTTTGGGTCCCAGGTTCAGTACCTTTTTTGCAATTACTAATACCAAAAATATTTGTTATGCATGTACAGACAATACAAGAAAATTTAATGAAACTTAATGTATTTTTAAAAGACACTTATAACATAATTGATAGTTACTGAATAAATTAAAATTCATGCCAAGGGGTTCTGATTCCAATAATGGCAGAGATGCTTGTATTGGATAAACCCTGCTACAGGTTAACAAAAAAGATTTTAAAATAACTACGTAAAGGGTTTTTAAAATAGGCAGAAACTGGGCCTCCCTGGTGGCGTAGCGGTTGAGCGCTGGGTTGCGAAGCTGCCCACAGCCTCTGTAGCGCCAGTTCAATCCCCGGCTGCCGGGCGAGGGTACCACATGGCACACAGACCTCTCCTGCCACCCACTGTTCCCCTCAGCAGTGTACTTCGTCAGTCTGCCTGTTCTGTTCCCCTCTCTGGTGAATTCTCTCACCCTCCCGCGCTTCTGACTGTACCCAGTGCTTGTATGAATAAATAAACAAATCTTAAAAAAAAAAAAAATAGGCAGAAACTGAAAGGAGGGATAGACTGACCTTGAACAAAA